TGCCTAGGAGACGGCTGGATTTATTGTGAGGCAGTGCTCTGTCATGGAGTTCCTGTCATGTTCTTCCTCGAGGCCTTATGTGATGCACAGTGAGGTGGATGCAACTGTTCACAACAGTGTAACCTACACTAACACTTTGTGGTTGTTTGTCCCCCTCTAGTGGCTACACCATCTGCAGAGGCTTATGAGTCAGCTACTGCCTCCGCTCACCCTTCACTCCAGTAGTAGAGGCTCATGCTTTTAAATCCAGAGGTCTTGGGTTTGAGCTCTACAGCAAGTAGGGTGACTAGACAGCAAATGTGAAAAATCGGGATGGGGGTGGGGGGTAATAGAAGCCTATATAGGAAAAAGACCCAAAAATCGGGACTGTCCCTATAAAATCGGGATACCTGGTCACCCTAACAGCAAGTCAGCCTGGGCAATGGTTACACCAGCACATGTGAGTGAAGGCTAATTTGCCCTGAGCGGCAGCAAGGCTCTAGCCCTACTGCAAAGGAGTCAGAAGCGCACAGGGTGAAAAAGGGGCATAGAATGGAAGTGTCTGAGGTGTGATCCTCATCATGATCATGAGGCATCCCTCTCAGGCCTAGCTTCTGCCGCTGGGCTGCAACAAGTTGGTGTCTGCACAGCAGTGCTCTCATTAATGCAGGGTCAGGGTCCCCAGCACTCCCCCATCTTCATCACTGCTGACACGTTGCATTCTTCACTGACCCTGGACATAGTTGGGTCCGGAGGGGGCGAGAAGACAAACGTGAATACACTTGCGCTCTCTTTCATTTATACAATGTTTTGTGCCTTAACCGTGCAGCGTCCCCACCCTGAACTGGCAGGGCCACCTCAAGTGTGTCTACGCTGCAGTTAAAAACCCGCGGCTGGCTTATCCCAGCTGATTCGGGCTCCGGCTAACAGGCTGTTTATTTGCAGTGTAGACGTTCAGGCTCGGGCTGAAGCCTGGGCTCTAGGACCCTGTATGGTGGGAGGGTCCCAGAGCTCGGGCTGCAGCCTGAGTCCGCATGGCTATACTGCAGTTGAACAGCATCTTAGCCTGAGTCAGCTGGCACAGGCCAGCCGCGGGTTTTCAATTGCACCCTCAGTCCCTCAGCTTTCGGTCGCTAAACTGGGGCAGCCAAGGGGGCCAATGTTCTGACCGGTCTGGAGGTCTTTTGCGATGTGGGCAGCTGTCCACTGGACGGAGGCTACTAACTCATTTGACACTGGTCACCAACCTGTCATCCCACAGTCACCACTTAAAATCCCTGGCAACCCCGGGGGGAAAGGGTGCCTGTCCCTGGACCAATCCGCTGAGCCCTTTCTTGCTCAGTCAGCTGAGAGCTCTAGCTGGGAAGAAATGAGGCAGTGGTTTGTCGGTGTCTGGCTTTGCGATGAGCTCATCTGTCGGAGTTTGTTGCAGCAGTAGCTGATCACCACTATTTCCCAGCAGTGCTTGGCAGGCACTTCGCTCCCCCGGGCTCATCAAGCAAAAGAACAAACATCCAGCAGAGGAGCGTTGGAGAGTTGCCAGCCAGGTGCGTGTCGCCTTACGCACCTCTCGCTGTCATTTTGTCATGGACTTGCAGCTCTGTTCAGTGCGCATGTGGTACTGGGCTTAGCACGGCCGGAGCAACACAGAGCTGACGGCGCGCCATGAGGGCGACTGCTCACTTACAAGCACCTCTGACTCCTACTCTCCCCCCACTCCCTTCCCTGACTGCTGAGCATGTGCTCCAGGGAGCTCTGGGGAGAACCCGGACTCCGCTGCTGTTCAGACAGTTTCTCCTGTGATGCCATTTCAGCCGAGGGCAAAAGCAGCGCGACTAGCTGGAAAAAGAAGGCCCTAATCCTTAGTGCTATCGGTGTGAAAGTGAATGGACAAAAGGCAATGAACTGCTACATAAACTGCCTGCACCAATATCTAGCTCAGGGGGGAAACTCCCACTGATTTCAGTGGAAGCAGGGTTAGGCCAGTGCTAAGCAGCGTGCATGTGAAAATCCCACCCTGGAGAAGCCCTGTGACAGTAGATCACAAGTTCTCTCTCCCCGCTGGTGCAGGTTTGTTCACTAGTGTATGGTCCATAGCGTTATCCTGCTTCAAAGAACAGAGGTTCCATGTACCTTCGGAAACTGATCTGCAGTCAAATACACCTCACTGCTTGGATGCTTTTTGTTTGTTTGTTTTGTTTTTGTTGCTCTTCAGTCTAAATTTTCCATAGTTCAGTTTCATCCCATTACACCAAATACCAACCTCTGTTTCCCTGCATGACTGCTTGCTCTTTGGAGCTTACACCCTTCAAATGTATGTGCGCATTGTAGCTGTTATACCCCCACACACACACCCTTGTACCAGTGTTTTCCTGAGGGGGTTCTGCGGACTCCTTGAAGTCAGTGACTTATTACCTTGCCCGGATATTAAAGAAATAGGATCAGCTGCCTAAAGAGAGAGTACTTAGGGTGTGGGCTGAGCAGTCCTGAGGGAGGAACCGTAGGAGCAGCCAAGCCTGAGTAGAAGGTTTGAGCAGAAGTTTGTTATATCATTGTTAATTTTTTGTTGTTAAATACAAACCCAAGGAAGGGGGTGAGCTTTGAGTCTTCCCAGTGTGTGGACACTGGTTTAGAGCAGGTTGGAAATTACATCTGCTCACACCCCTCCTTAGTGCTCTTATGGAAAAAATTCCATTGGATTTAGTGGAGATTAAACCAATAGGGTTCTGGAGACATAACTCTGAAATCCCTAGAGTGTTATATCCCTACTATAGGCTCATATAGGCTTGTTTAAACACTGATAATGAGGGTATCCTTCTCTATTCACTTCTCTAGGGTTTGTCCATAAGGGATGGTCCCTTAGCCAGGCAACCCACAATAAACTTAAGCTTTCCTGCTCGACCAGACCCTCCAGCCCAGTACTCATTTAATGGCTTTTTTTTCTGCATATCCACCTTGTCGTCATTGCCTTTGTGTTACACAAGTGCCAGGGACTGGACTGGCTGATCCGAGTGCTAATTTATTTCACTCCGTTAAAAAATGACTGTGTATAATTAGATTTGCAACAATGAGGGGCTGGAGGGCTCAGTGTGTTGCCTTTCCAGTGGACTAGATCAGCGGTTCTCAACCAGCGATCCGTGGCCCCCTGGGGGTCTGCAAGCTCTTTCAGGGGGGCTGCGGAGCCCCACGGCTGGCTCTGAGCTCCGGCGCTGAAGCCGGGAGCAGCGTGGGGCTAAAGCCAGCAGCCCCAGCCAGGAGCGGCGCAGGGCTAATACCAGCACCCCATCAAGCCCCCGAAGCCGCAAGTGGTGTGGGGCTGAAGCTGGAACACCCCCCCTCTCCCCCAGCCAGGAGCAGCACTGGTAGCCCCCACACACAACTGTACACAGCCCGTAGCTACCCCCTGCCTGCACCCTGAGCTACTCCCTCACTTCACACAGCCCCTAGCTACCCCCGCCTGCACCCTGAGCTACCCCTGCCTACACACAGCCCCTAGCTACCCCCTGCCTACACACAGTCCCAGCTATTCCCCTGCCTGCACCCTGAGCTACCCCCTGCCTACACCCTGAGCTACCCCCTGCCTACACACAGCCCCTAGATACCCCCTGCCTATACCCTGAGCTACCCCCTGCCTACACGCAGTCCCAGCTATTCCCCTGCCTGCACCCTGAGCTACCCCCTGCCTACACACAGCCCCAGCTACCCCCTGCCTGCACCCTGAGCTTACCCCCCTGCCTGCACACAGCCCCAGCTACCCCCTGCCTGCACCCTGAGCGGTTTTTAAACTTTTTGAAGTGAGTCCCCGCTTTGAGTTATATTTTTTTGGTTGTGTCCCCCCACAGCCCAGACATGCTCGGTGGCCAACTGAATGAGTCAGGGGGTGGAGGTGACGTCCCTCCCTGCTGTGCGGAGCTGGCTCGAGCCAGCCTTACTGTGGCGGTACACCAAACAGGTGTAATTCATAAAGTCAAAAAGGCTGAGAACTTAACATTTGGATGGCAGCAGCCCATAAATCCCAGCGATAAGAACATAAGACCATACTGGGTCAGATCAAAGGTCCATCTAGCCCAGCATCCTGTCTTCCGACAGTGGCCAATGCCAGGTGCCCCAGAGGGAATGAACAGAACAGGTAATCATCAAGTGATCCATCTCCTGTTGCCCATTCACAGCTTCTGGCAAACAGAGGCTAGGGCCACCATCCCTGCCCATCCTGGCTAATAGCCATTGATGGACCTATCCTCCATGAACTTATCTAGTTCTTTTTTGAACCCTGTTATAGTCTTGGCCTTCACAACATCCTCTGGCAAGGAGTTCCACAGGTTGACTGTGCCTTGGGTGAAAAGTGACAGCACCTCACTGCCTGGCAGTCACATTGAGGGGTGGGAATTCTACCGCTAACCTTGTGTCACCTCCCCTGTCCAGGGTTTGCTGTTTGAAATATATTCTGCCCGCTGTACTCTCAGACTGGATTTCTGTATAGGAGCTGGGGATCTTTTATTTGCTTAAAGCTATCAGGGTGAGATTATTTACAGGAAAGACCTGAAGCTTTTACTAACAAGACACAATGAGAGACTGACCTGAACCAGAACCCCAGATCGGAATCCTCGCATCCCTTTGTACCCTTACTCGCAAGAGCACAGGGTTAAAATATAGGCAGGGTACAGGTTTGAGCATCTTCTTCATCATCATGCTGTTGGGAAGCTTTTAGCTAAGCCCTTGCCTCATAACTTGACAGCCACCTGGCACCAATCTCATTAATATGTGATCTTGGTCCCCTACCCGGTTCACCGGTTTTTCTCCTGTGCTTAGGTGCACAATTCTGCTCACCTGCCCTAGGCAGGATCAAGCCCAAGGGGGTGTAACATGCAGGGCTGCGGTTTGATCAGGTGACCTTTTCAGAGCAGAGCCCGGGGAGGGTGGTGGCGACGCAAAGGGCAGTCTCTAGAAATGCAGTTGAATAAAATAAAAGTCCAAAATCATGGACCTTATTGTAACCTTTTATTTTTCCATTCCATTTTTAGTGCAAATAACCAGACCCGTGAGTGTGCTGTGATAACAGGGGACACTTGAGAGCGTAGGAGTTGCTGTATCGGAGCCGACCTTTAGATCTAAGCTGGCTCGCCAAAGTAAATAAAACCGATTGTCCTATTTTGCTTGGGGGAGGGCTAACCTCACAATGACACCCTGGGAGAACGAAACCTCCCACTGAGACCCCCAGCATGGTCTGACCCTTTGTGTCACCGAGCTGCTATTAACAGATCAGACTCACATGGTACTTTCCATTGAGGATCTCCAGGGTGGGTCGGCATCATTATCTCCACTGTATGGGGTGGGAACCTCTCCAGGATGCCCTGAGGTTGGATTGCTGCACTCCCTACAGCCAGTCCACGTCCACCCACGATCAACACAAGGTTTTAGCCTGGAAAACCTAGAACTGAAGACCCCTGCAACAAAAGACCGGCCTTGCCTCTCTCTCTCTCTCAGGTGTTGCAAGGTTTAATTGCAGGCCAGGCCAGATTCTCAGCTTGTGTAAATCAGAACTCTACTGAAGTTAGGTGCGGCTGATTTGCATTAGCTGAGGATCGGACCCAATATTTGTAAAGTGCTTTTGAGATCCTTGGATGAAAGGGACTATGGAAGTGCCAAGTATAATTAAGCTCTTCAGGACTGGGACCTTGTCGTCTTACTGTTTGCAAAGCACCTAATGCACCTCTCGTGGGACAGACCCTGAAGTGCTTGCTCAGTGCATAGTCAAGCAAAACTTGAATTTACCAGAGTGAAGAAACGAGGCAGGCCCTTGGGATTTGACCCAGTTTCTATTTTGATTAGTGTCTCCCTCTTATTTCTACCACCTCCATTTCCCATCATTTTGATTGGAATAAGCATCTGCTCTCGTTAGCCAATGACCAGTCGGGTGCGTATCATAGCTTGCAAAACTCTTGGCAGTGCTTTTGACAGGCCCTGCCATGCTCAGTCAGAATGAAATCCAGGAGCCTGATTCTCCATTACCCTGCCCACTCCATGTTGCCGTTTACACCTGCGAAAGTGAAACACGACTTCCAAGGTGCAGAGAATGAAGAAATCAGGCTGGGTAGTACATTACACCCCCTTCGTACAACCATGAATGACTACAGTGAGTGTAAGGTAGTGGAGAATTGGTGGCTTTTCAGTGAAATGGGATCAGGGTCTGTCTGGATAACAGCATATAGTTCTATATGATCTGGCCTACTAGTCATTGAAGACAATGAGACGCTTTCCATTGACTTTAATGACTAAGGGGATCAGGCCCAGATTATTGTCACATGGCTATTCTTTGTGATTTTTCTTCTGCCCTCGCATTCAGAATATTGGCCTTCTCTTCTAATAAACAAATGCCCACAGCTAGTATTGGATCAAATTCTCCAATAATAACCAGTAGGGTGATCAAAATAAAGGAATTTCAGTTTTGTTTTGTTTTTTATTGAAATGATTTCATACTGATGAGGTGCTGGATTGAATTAACTAGTGATTGAAATGAATAGAAAACCCGGTGTTGTCATCAAGTATAACACTGTCATCCTCCCAGAAACCCTATTCAGACAAAATCTAGAGTGACCCGTTTTAGGGCTTTGTATTTTATGGGTTGGCCATGTCTTCAGTATCTGGTTGAGCATGGGTGGTGATGCCCTGGGGGTGCACATCTAGATGTCTGACCAGGATCATAAACAGAGACTAAGGCTAAAAAGTACATCCCAGTCTTTACACCCACCCCGTGCATGCTGGGGCAGAACTTTGGGAGCTTATTTAGCATAGTTTGGATGCTTGTGTAGTGCAGATGTGATCAATAAAGGTCATAAGCCTAAAGTTTCAAATTACTAGTGATTTTGGGTACCCAACTTGAGACCCTTTTAAAGAGGGCCTGATTTCCATACACTGCTGACCAGCTGCCCTCTGAAAACCCAGCCCATTTAATGTCCCTCATGTTGAGGACCCAAAAAGTGAGGGATCCAAAATCACTAATTGTTTTTGAAAACACAGTCCATAGTTTGTCACTCTAGAGGCTCAAAGCATTGATTTAAAGAACTCCCCTGTGACCTGGAATGTAGCCATGAGGTCATCTTTTTGGCCAATCACTTAGTATGAAGATGTTCCAAGTGAGATGCCTGCATTGGAGAGAGGATGGAGATGGTCTTCTGGGGCTGGAGGTTCAGGACTGGTGCATCCACACCTAGAGCACTCTGGCTACATTTAATGGTGATAAATATCAGGGAATTCAGAGGAAAGCCACACAAATGTTTACCAGGCTGGAGAAACCGACATGGGAGGAAAGAATTAAATACCAATAGCTTGGCTTCAGCAATAACGAGGAGGAACAAGATAAGCATCTGCAAGCGTATGAAGGGTAAACAGCCAAAGGGGACAGGGCTTGTTTAGGGTGATCAAAGGGAGAATGTTTAGGGATAAAGAGAGTAAAAATTTGTCAAGGAAAATTTTAGTATAACTGTTGTGGGGGAAAAGCTTTTTATTCCACAGCCTCCTACAGCTCACATTTAGTCTCTCCGGGGAGGTGGTGGAAGTGCCATCACTTAGGACATTTCAAACCATACTGGAGAATTTACTGGAGGGAACAATTCCACCCAGGCCCCGTGATGGACCAGGTGGGACCTCCATGGAGGAATGTTCCATCTGCAGTGACTGTATGAGGTTATTTTGACCTGAGAGATATTGCAGCAGTGACTCGGTAGCTGGGTCACCTTAAACCTATCAACCCCCAGTAGAGTGCTGTTGGGCAGCGCTGTAACACATGCCTGCTACACCACACTTCCTGCTCCTCCAGCTCCGGTGAACACAGCCCTAAGATCCCCAGATGGAGAGGAACCAGAGCAATTCTGCTGCATGGGGATAGACAGGATTTGGGGAACCTATGCAGCAGGACTTCCAGCATGCTCTTGCCCATAGAGGCACACAGAACTGGGCAGGGGCAGATTAGGAGAGGAGCAGAGTCAGTGGATCTGCTGCTAGCGGAATCCACCAGCCATTGCCTCCCACCGGCGAAGCAGGGTCTCAGCCGTCATGGGAGTTAACGCGGTCACAGGAGCAGGTGCAGAGCAGTAGCTGTCCCACTCCGCAGGCTGGGAGGGGAGTATTCCTGCCCCAGCACACACAGCCCATGTGCTCAGAGACACATTTGCTCCTCTGTGTTCAGTGCTGAGCAAAGGGGAGATAGCAAATAAAGGCAATCCAGTAACACTCTTCTTTTCCTCTCTTTCAGTGCCACTGACTCATGCCTCAACTTCACCTCTGAGTTGCCATGGCCAAGTTAGAGACCCTGTCTGTTCTTAGTGACCGAAGCTACCAGAGCCAGGACACCTTCCACTCGTTTGCCTCCAGGCCCTCTGAATCTGCCTCCCAAAACACTATGGGAAGCGTGGGCAGCGGAGTCGCCAATGAGCAAGAGTTTGCGATGAAGAGCGTGGGAACCAGGACCCAGAGCAGCAGCAGGCAGGCTGATGGCTCGCGGAATGGCTATTCCACGCGGGAGATCTCTAACCGTTACTCCGGGGAGGAGAAGACCTACAAGTCAGAGAAGATCTCCAACTCCCTCTACATCAATGGGGACCTGCGCAAGAGTGAGAAGATGAAGACAGACATTTGTGGGAACGTTACCACCAACAACGAGAAAAACCTGCCGCCTCCTCCCCAGTACAGAGAACCCAGTAACCCACCAAAGATATTGCCGGTCTCTGGCAAATTGGACCAGGTAAGATTCCGTTATACCTTGGTGCCCTGTGATGCTTGCAAGGCATAAGTCCAATGATGCAAATCCAGACAGTGAAGCAGAGAGAACAGGACAGGTCTTGGTCTGTAATTCTCAGTGGTCTGAGCAGAGTAAAACTTTACCTTCTGGGAACTCGTGGGATTGGTAATGAGTCTGTCACTGCTAGGCTACCAAGTCATGGTTAGGTCCAGATTTTTAAAGGTATTTAGACATTCTTAGCATTGCAATGTCTCTGTGAATTGGGAGCTGAAATATCATTTTCAAAAGGGATTTAGAGCCTGTGCAGGTGTCACATATGTACGCCTCCATGTAGAGAGTTGGCTAATGGCAACAGAGAAGCTAGACTTTTATAGGTCAGGCCTGGCTGTGAAACCTTGGACAAGTCCCTTCACCTTGCTGTGCTGAACTGATATTTGAAGTATTTTGAGATCCTCCAGTGAAAGGCTCTATGTGGGTCCAATCCAAAGCTTACTGAAGTCAGTTGAAAGACTGCCATTAATTTCACTGAGCTTTATCAGAGCAAATAATTGCCATCGCTAACGTTTTTTCCATACTAGTCCAAGGGCTTACTTTAGTTTTCAATAAAAGGGGGTATATTCCTTTTAAAAACACACCCTTATTGACTAAAGAAAAGCCTTTCAAAACATAGTCTGACGCAACAAATAGCACCATGGAACTTGAAGATAATGCTCAACAAGGAGCAATTTCTATCTGGGCTGTCAAACAACTCTGAACCATGGGAGGATGACACCTTTTTCTCTTACAGAGAAGCAAATGGTGATCACCTGAATAGAGTGTAAAAGGATGATGATAGGATCTTGGAACAAATTCTGATTCAGTTCAGTCACAGAGCGAGAGAGATTGAGGGGGGAATGGAGTGCTTTGAGCACAGCGCTGGCAGTAGTTACTCATGATGTCTGTCAAATATGAAATCCAAAAAGCTACAGTGTCTTTTAAAGTTGAGCAGTAGAAAACCATGGGGCCTGATTCTAAGCTGGGGTAAGTCAGTGTTGCTCCATTGACTCTAACAAAGCCTATAGAGTTACACTGATTTACCCCAGCTCTGGATCAGTCCCGTTAGCTTTTGTGTATTGTTACAAAGCCTGACTACGTTTGATATGTGATTCTTTTTTCCTTTGCAGAGCAATGAGCCCTTAGTTAGACCTTCAGCCTTTAAACCAGTAGTTCCTAAAAACTTCCATTCCATGCAGAATCTCTGCCCGCCGCAGAACAATGGAATAACAGAGAACAGAAAGAGTTTGAATCACACCAACAGCAATAGCCCATCTGCAGGCAAAAGCGGACTGGAGAAGACCAGCCTTAATAGGACTACAAACCAAGTGGGAGGTCTTTCCGATTCTGGCCGTAACTCTTTGACGAGCTTGCCCACTTACGGCACGGGCTACAGTCAGCACGTTGGCCCAATGAGTGCTTCAACTAGTCACATAAACCGCATTGGCACAACCTATGTAGATAAGAACATAGTGGGATACAATGGAATATCTACCTCAGACAGTGGACGGTCTTCAAGCAAGAGTACTACTTCTTTCAATAGGCTCAACCATCTGAACGAAACAATGCCTTTCCATTCACCCTCGACAGATGACGTTATCCAGGACCTGGAGGACAGGCTGTGGGAGAAGGAGCAGGAGGTCTTGCAGATGAGAAGAAACCTGGACAAAAGTGAGGCTGCCATCTTCCAAGTGTTTGAGGAGAAGCAAAAGATCTGGGAACGTGAAATGGAGGACCTCAGGCAAAATTATGCAAATAAACTGCAGCAGGTCTCCAAGAAGGCCCAGCGGGCTCAACAGGCCTTGCAGCTCCAGATCTTCAAGCTCCAGCAAGAGAAAAAAAAGCTCCAGGATGATGTGGGGCAACTTCTCCAGCAGCGAGAAGAGCTGGAGAAAAAATTTGTGGCTTTCAAGAAAGAACAGGCTGAGTTTCTTCCCAAGATTGAAGAAACCAAGTGGGAGGTAAGGGCCCAGCAAAATCACAGCATTATACTAGTTACACCAGTGACTGGGGAGTGAAAGCATCAGTCCATGCTAACATAGATCCCAATCCAGCAAAGCACTGGAACACTAATTTCAGGGGGGCTTCTCACATGCCTAAAGCTAAACACACGATCAAGTGCTTTGCTGGATCAAAAAACATTTAGTTAATCGAGTACAACAAAGAGGCCAAACTCAGATAAAATCCTCCGGTGTCTAATGGACTGAAGGATACCTTGCCCAAGCAATCTGGGCGTGAATAAATAATTGCTCAACATCAAAGATTAGTAGACACGTTGGCTTGTGGCCACAGCAGAACAGTGGGACCCTAGCCTACTGGATTCTCTTCCCAGCCTCCCTACTCTTAAATCATAGAACCTCTCTTTGCGCCTTATTTTCCCCAGTGGGGTGATAATCCCATAGAGATGTTGTGAGCTAGGGTTCATGAAGCATTTTGGGGTCCTCTGATTTTAGAAGTGCATGAACTGGTGGGAAAAGAAATGGGGGTTTCCATTGTGCCCATTTGCCTTTTATCTCTGTCAACATCTTTTACCTTATTCCCATTGGCGGCAGAGAGGTTGTGAGAATGGCACAACCACCATCAATAACTGGTGCCAATTATTATAATCCTTGTTACATCCGGATTTGGAAGCTTCTTCTGATCTGTTCTGTGGCATGTGGTAATACAGCCAAGGCTTCGTCCACACACCGAGTTGCTCTGGATTAACTAAAGCCGTGACCTCTTTTTAAACTGATTTCAGTTAAACCAGTGCAACTTTGTACGTGCACTCTCTTTAGTTGAGTTAAATCTGGTTTATGTTGGTTCAGCTGGTAGGTGATAGCTAAGCTGATGTATGTCAGGTTTAAACTGATGTGTGTCCACAAAGGGGTTTGCACCACTTTAAGTAAATCAGTTTTTAAACTGATTTAAACTAAACTGGTGGAACTTCTGTGTTTAAACAAACAAACCCTTGAATTCACAGCTCAAATGCTTTGTTTTTTTATTTGAGAGAGAGAGAGAGTTGGCAGTGATGCCTATAGTTAAGGCTTCCTAATACTTTCCATTATCAGACCCAGTTTTCAGTTGCTGACACGTTTACCAAACTTAAACATTTCAGGCTGAAATTTTCCATTCCTGGTCTCTGCCTCAGGCTGACTATTTTTAGAAGTAAGCTTCGGCAAACATGAATCAGCCATTTCCAAGAACAAAGTTAGCCAAAAGGAAGTAGTTTTGCCAATGTTAAGATGTTTGCCCTAATTAGGGTTGCCAACCCTCCAGGATTGTCCTGGAGCCTCCAGGAATTAAAGTTTAATCTTTAATTAAATATTATGTCATGTGATGAAACTTCCAGGAATACATCCAACCAAAATTAGCAACCCTAGCCCTAATGTTGGTTGGTTGGTTGGTTGGTTTCTGAAGAACTCTATCACCCCCGTGCACTGGAGTGGGAACAAAAAAATTTAGAAGGGATAATTCTGGGGTCAAGGAGTTCCCCCCTGCTTATCCCATGAAAAGCCTCTGATTTGGCCAAGTTATAAGCCACTGAAAATTGCCATTTGCACATGTTGCGCTCTTGTGAATAGCTCTCACTTGCTCTTCCAGGTGTGCCAGAAAGCTGGTGAGATCTCACTACTCAAGCAACAACTGAAGGATTCGCAAGCTGACGTCTCTCAGAAACTGAACGAGATAGTGGGGCTGCGGACTCAGCTCAAAGAAGGTAAGAACTTCCTGAAAGAGAAGGAAGAGCAGATCGTCACCCTGAAAGACTCCTACAGCTCCAAGACTGTCAACCTGGAGATCTGCGAGAATGAGCTGCAGAGAAAGATGAATGAGGTGCAGATGCTAAGGGAAAAACTCAACCACTGTGAGCTGGAGGTCTCTGGCCTGAAGCAGACGCTGGCCAGCATGGGGCACCATGGCCATTTCAATGCAGAGCTCACCGAGAAACTAAGGGACCCGTTGGCATGTGAGAGCGATGAGGCCAAGATGAAGCGCCAGAACGAGGACAGTGTCATTGCCCTGAAGAAGGAGGTTGAGCGGCTCCAGACGGAGCTGAAGCTGGAGCGCCAGCAGCGGGAGCAGCAGGTGATGGACTTTGAGGAGGAGCGGCGCACGTGGCAGGAGGAGAAGGAGAAGGTGATCAAATACCAGAAGCAGCTACAGCTGAACTACGTGGAGATGTACCAGAAGAACCAGCTCCTGGAGCACAAGGTGAATGAGATGACCACCAAGGCTACCAGCCCGCCTTACACCGAGGAGAAAAAACCATGGACTCCATCCAGGCTGGAGCGAATAGAGTCCACTGAGATCTAACAAGGGACCAAGTCAATAAAAGTAATTTTTATTACTGTGCATGTACTACCTACTCCAGCCAGTGATCTTCCTAAGAATAATGTGCTATTTTACCAGAGGTGTGAATGCACCGAACCCCCCCACCCTTACTCTCTTCCTCAGTGCTCTGTAAGTAAACTAACCGTGGATGTACATTGTTATACTGTTGATGATGCTACATCAGTTTCTCCTAGTACAGCTAGGAAGGGCCCAGTGGCCCTTTAGGAATCTGCTGTGACTGTTACTTCTCTATATGCTGCCATCCCTTCCACCATCATCAATTCCCCTGCCCTCTGCATTTGTTCCCCCCCCCCCCCCCCCCCCCCCCCCCCCCCTCCTTCTTTTTCCCCCCCCCCCCCCCCCCGCATCAGTTCATGCAGCAAAACAGTGCAAAGTGACAGGGTTTTTCAGGGCATTTTAGCCACATTGGCTAATAGAGCAAATCTCTGGGGATCAGAAGAACCGTGCAGTTCAGCACGTCACGGTATTGATGATACTTGTCTGACAGCCTAATCCAGTGAAGTGAGTAGGAGGTTTGCCATTGACTTCAGTGAAACCGGGCTTTGACCCTATTCAAATAAGTCTCTATAGCAAATGCATTGCTAACAATTGCCAAGGTCCATGATGTCACTAGGGGCTAGAATAAGCCAGTTGAGGTACAATGAGCCAACACCAACCGCTGCCCAAAATGAACTGAGAGTTGCGTTTGAGGTTCCGAAAACATGCTGTGCTTTCGCTTTGCTATTTACGTTCACGTCCCCTTCCACTTCTTGGCAATGATCAGGACTAGAAGCAGAAATGGCAGCAAACCCCACTATTTTTCCTGTATTTCCGGCCTGGCCAAAATCAGGAGTCCCCAGTAATTCAGGCAGCAAGTCCCATTCCTCAGGCGAGATCCCAGAGGGAAGAACTTTGACTAAGCTTCAGAGAAGCATTCAAACTCCTTCCACGTTTGTCCAAATCAGAAAGGAAGCCGTGGGGGACGCCAGGTGGCGACACTATCCTGCTCCCAAAAGAAAGCTGACTTTCCTCTTGCCGTGGTTCCCTGGAGAGGTGGTCTAGTTACAGAAGGGCCTCAGGAAACCGCCCACACATTTGCAGACTCTGCCGTGCTAGTGAACAAGCATCAGCACCATGGATAGATGTGGCAGGAGTTAAGACCCTATCATAGGAAGTAACTTAGGCCCCAGTTCAACAAAGGACCCAAGCACTGGAATGGGTTACCTAGGGAGGTGGTGGAATCTCCTTCCTTAGAAGTTTTTAAGGCCCGGCTTGACAAAGCCCTGGCTGGGATGATTTAGTTGGTGTTGGTCCTGCTTTGAGCAGGGGGTTGGACTAGATGACTTCCTGAGGTCTCTTCCAACCCTGATATTCTAGGCATGTGCCTAAGAACCATGCTGAGTCGGGGACGTAGGAAAATCCTAGGGGCCCAGGTCTGCCTGCAGATGCGGGCGTACAATTGCCAAGTCTCACACCTGGACCCAAGGGCAGCATTCAGCCATAAATGGGCCTGATTCTGTCTCCTACTAAAGATGTGTCACACCCTTCCGGAAGTGTAACGGGGTCTTCAGGTGGGACTCAGTTGAAGCAGTGGTGTGCGGGAGGCTCAGTGTCACTCAGGAGGAAGCCCAGTGTCCTTTCCAGAGGGAGAGCTAGAAGGAACAAAGATGCACAGGGTGTCGAATGAGCAGCGACACAAACCCCTACACAGTGATTTCAATGAGAGTTCAGGCCCAAGCGTGTATTGAGCGAGAGCAGCAGGACGAGACAGGCTCAGCGCTGTGGAAAGAGCAGCCGAGAAAAGACATGGAAGCTGCTCATTTTCCGTATGTCCCCTCAGCTGAGCTCGCACTACGAGCTGGTGGCTCACAATTCCTCGGGGGGGAAGAGGGGGGGTGTTGAACTTTGGTTGGGATTTACAACATCTTGGGGAAAGCCCAGGATTCAGCAGCAGGGCTCACGGCAGAAAGGGGAAACTGACCAATTCTCAGGGAGTTTCAGGCTGTTGTTTTCCAGCTGACTTTGCCCTTTGAGCAGGCGCCAGCAGTGACCAGCACGGGCTATGGGTGGTGCGGGTGGATGACAGTGGTCGCTGTTGCTGTACAAGTGAAGGCTTCTCGCAGGATGACCCATCGCAGCCTGTCCTGGGAGGGCTCCTCAGTTTTCCCCCTGCTGCTCTTGTACTAGGGGAGGCAAAGAAAATATATTGCATCAGTCCGGCAAAAACTAAAGCAAATACCTGTGAAACTGGCTGTCCCAGAGACGAGCCCAAGCCAGCTGCCTCACAAACGGTGTTTGATTGATGGCCAAATGGCACTCTCCTGGTCTTGGGGTGGGCTATGTAGGACAAGGAGTGGGCTTGGCGCTTGGAGATGGGGTGCACATACTGAATATACAGGGTGGGCCTGATGCAAAGCCCAGTGGAAAGTCTCATTGACTTAACGGGCTTTGGATGAGGCCCTGAATCAGCTGCCGCTCCATTGAAGTCAATGGGACTCCAGTATAACATCCTTGTGAGAGAGGAGTCCGGCTCTGACTGTAGGCCCTGTAGCCCCGTTACGGGAGCAGAAGCACTTACAGTAGGAGGGAGATTGACGTCAACGGGAGCAAGATCAGTGGCAAAGCTCCCAGTCATATGAAGAGGAGCAACCTTAGCCACCGTCATCTCTGTCTGTAGAGCCAGGACGGCGCGGGAGGGGGCATTGCTTCCCAGCCACCGTCCGTAAGCGAGGGCTTCAGCTGGGCGCGTTATTGCATTCCAGTCTTAACAATGGACGAGACCATTGCAAGCTTGATTTCTCGCTTTGCTGCCCGTTTGTAATGGTGCAATTGTGTCCCTGCTCGGGTCTCCAGGTGCCGATCGTTAATCCGCCCCCGGCAGCGGAGTGGGCAATAACAGGTGCTGCTTGAGGGCGCAAAGGGCTGAGGCTGTGTGCGCAGAGCAGCATGCAGACACCAGAGAGTAGGACTCGGCTAGAACGTTGGCGTGGCAGCGCCTGCCAGTTCTGCTGCTGTTAGACCTGGCGCCGTTCCCAGGCGAGGGCTTGTTTTCCCTCCCCGGTGCCTGCCGTTACAGTCAGTGCAGTTCCACAGGCAAACATTCTGTGCACCGGGGGCGGGAGGGGGTGTCTGTGTCTAATTTGCATGCCCAGTTGTTGGCCTGTTGGAGCCATACCTGGGCCACATAGGTCTGCAAATGCCTAGTTTGTGTGTGAAGGCTGAATTACGTGTGTACAAAATTAGGCCCTGTTTCTGTCATTTTAAATTAGCTGGGCCTGTTCCTCCACTGGCGTAAAGCAGAGTAACTCCCTTGACTTGAATGGAGCTGGCCACCCGCCTACTCCTGCGAAGGGCCGAGCACCCTGAATCCCCGTCAGTCAGTGTGAGGGGCTGAGTGCCCTAAACCCTCAGAGTTAAGCTTCTTCATGAGTTAAGGGATGGTGGGGGCCTGTGTGACCCAGGGCAAACCCTCTTGCTGGGCCTCAGTTTCCTCATAAATTAAACCAGGATCACCATCCTTCCCTACCTCGCAGGGATGAATTTATTCCTGTTCACAAAGGGCTCTGAGCTCCTTGGGTGGAAGGGAAAAGTGCTGAGCAGTTACAAATATTTTTAATAGATTTCAGACCAACTTTACATGTAATTTTTCAGGCCATCATGTAACGAGAATTTTCAGGGAACTGTAGCTGCACTCCGAATGGGATGAGCCCCAGGACCTGTTAGATCTCCTCCATTACTATGGGTGAAATTCTGGTTCAAATGAAGTTGATGGCAAAACTCCCACTGAATTCAGTGGGGCCAGGATTTCCCCCTATCATTCTAAAGGGCCCCAATCAGCCTTTGAGAATGTTCACACCCCTGATGTTCACCTGTGTTCCCATTGATGCCATCCAGAGGACCCTTCTACCCGCTCAATGCATACCTGAGATTCCTACTGATGCCCAACAAGAGCAGAACAGACCGATTGCAGATTTACATGTTCTGCAGGCTTGAAACATTCCCTAAATAATGAGTGATCTAATCAGATCAATAGTACACCTCTTGAAAGCTCCTTCAGGGTATGTCTCCACAGCAAAGAAAATCCCACTGCTGGCCTGTGCCAGCTGACTTGGGCTCTGGGGGGTTCAGGCTGTGGGGCTGCTTCATTGCTATGTAGAATTCTGGGCTTGGGCTGGAGTCCGGACCCTGTGCGGGTCCCAGAAGTCTACACAGCAATGAAACAGCCGAGTCCCATGAGCCAGAGTTGGCTGGCACAGCCACAGGTGTCTAGCTGCTGTGAAGATATACCCTAGGTGTGTCCCAGAGTAGGGAGGCCAACAATCCATGCATTAAAAAGCCCCTAAATACATATTTATCCAGTGTTCTGTGGCATCCCAGATCTTTGCAGTAAAGGGAGGGGGGTGTTTTAAGACCTCCCTTAATGTCCATTGTACGCCATTGAGGCGGGTGTGTGAGATGATTCTGGGCCAGAACCTGAGCTACTGTAAATCGGTGTCGCTCCACTGAAGTCGGAGCTAGACCAGCTGAGGATCTGGCGATGTTTAAGTGACATTAAGGCTGTGACAGGAATCAGCCAGTGCAAAGGGAAATTAAAGAAAAAGCTGAACCTTGAACACTCCACGGCCCCTTCCTTAACTGGCTCTGATTTCTATGCAAATTAGCCAGACACTTTAACAAGCCAGACAGCAAAGTCACCGTTTCTGCAGGGTGACTGTGCTGCGAATTGCTCTTTATGTATGACACCCGCCCGTGTGTTGCCATTACAAAAGGGTGGCTGAGGGGCCCATTTGAGGTTACTTATCCCATGAATCCTGTAGGGTCCCTTCCTTTCCCTGAGTCTCCACCAGAACTGTTGGGGTTGGGTGATAAACAGACTCATTCTGCTGGACGCGCTGCCGATTTTAGGAACCACAGAGCCACTTAAGGACAGGGGAGGGTGTTGTGCAGAGAGTTTCCACCTTACAGGCGGAAGATGCCTGTTCCCAACCCTCTGGTCGTGTGTCATGACCATTCTTCCTGCAGCTACGTCACCTTGGATTGGGATCTACTCAGATCTCTTGAACTATGCAGCTGTGAGCCCGCCATTCCTTCGGTGGGAGAGCCGCACCAAATACCCGAGGTGCGCTTGGAAGTTAGGCTGGTGATTCAGTAAAGGGCATTCTTCCCTCCCAGGTCAGCACTGAGCTAATGCCCCAGCGAGCTGCCGGAGGTGCCTCTTGCAGGTGAGTTGCCAAGCAGAAGGTTCTGATCCTTAATGACTCCATTGAAGTCAGTAGGGCAGATCTTTGGCTGGTGAGCATCAG